TAGCATTTTGGGGTCCATAGTCTCCAATAAGAGGCAGATGAAACGCCAAGCATTGGAAGAATTCTCGAGCCTTTGGACAAGCTAGAACGCGGCAGTGTGGATCCATGATACTTTAATTTATTTTATTTTTGGTAATTCAGTGGGAATGACGAGCCCTCACCCGTTTTTTTAAATCATTGTGGAGATTTTAGCTGAGCCATAAATAATGCTACCACCTCGACCCCAACCCCATTTTCATGGATACTTTAATTTCCTACAAACGTATCTGCAATACATCTAGATACCAGTTGATGAGCCTTAATATAAGAGTTGTGGTTTGTATACGGCCTAGGCCCTAAACAATCAAAGTAAGGTGCTTCTATAAATTATATCAAAAGAGCCTTGTTTGAATACTGAAATATTTATGGTAGCCTGAAAAATTATTTTAATCTCTAATTATAAAATTTAAAGCTTAAAAACCAATATAGATCGAGCAGATCTATGAACACTTGAAAATATTGAAAATTGATGGTCCAAAAAAAGCATTACAAAATGCACTATTTCTAAGGCATGAAATCCATTTTTCTCATGTCCGTACATCTTAAGGTTGAGATAATTGATTTGAGGATTTTTTAGCATGAAGAAGAACATGTTCTAGTGAATTTTTGATGTGTGCTTTAATTTATTTGTTTAGAGCGTCACCCTCATATAAACTTTTTCTAAGCGGTAGATAATTCAGGGTCGAGGAACCCTGGAATAACCTAGGTTCTCCCATATTTTTATTTTTTCCAAAAGAAAATCTATGTTATCTTTATTCTCCAAATCGGGTGATTTTGATTGGAATCAGAGATCCCAATCCGATTATCAGGGATTGAGTCATAATTGTAGAATTTAAATCACTGGCTAAGATACAATTTAGTCTTGCTTAACCTTGTATGCAATTTCAATAAAACAGTTAAATATGTAATCAAACATAAAACATCGTCTTGCATTTATTTTAAATAAAATGTAGCATAATAAAAAGAGGACGGTATTATATTTGAAAAACAAATATTAGATAGGAAATGGAGAAAGGTTAGGTTTGGCTGTTTCGGTCATTTCCCCTTTCTTTTCTTTTTTTTTGTTTGGTTAAATGGTGGGTGTCTATGTCGAACCATAGTTAGCAAGTCGGGAACTATCAATAAATCGGCTCATCGGAAACAAATCGTTTTTATTTTAAAAAATTGGATGAAAAAATCAGGTAAAAAATAAGGATCGACAAAAATACTTTATATAAAGATATCACTAATATATCCGATTAGGCTCAAAAAATCGGATAAGTTTATAATATTAGAAATTTTGAAATTCTAAAAAATAAAAATTATGTTAATACCTTCAATAATTCATCCATAAAATTTTTATTAGACTAATATAATTAAGCCAATTAATTTAAATGCCTCATTACTCTTATTCAATCATCCAATATTAAATATATAATTAACTAGTATATACCTAAAAAAATGTACCATATAAATCTACCCATTAAATACTTTAAGAAACATCAAACCTATTTATCATATACCAAAAACAAATTTACTATATAAATTTATTCATTAAATATTTTAATTATGGTATGGTGATAAATATACTTATATAAATTTATTATTGAACATCACACTTAATTTAAAAAAAACACGATTTTTGTTTTCTCATTACAATGATTTAACTGTAGTATGGTGACTATGATCACTCCATAACTATGGTTAAAATTTTATAAATTTCTTTAATTAAAAAGAGGCTCGTACAATTTGGGTTACGGTTTAGAGAGAGAAGAAGGAAGACGGAAGAGAGAAAATAGGATTGGGCTCCCATTAGGGTTTATAGAGAGAAGGTTTTAAAGAGACAAGAAAAGAGAAGCTTTACAAACCCTGCCATTAGGGTTTACAGATAGAAGAACGAAGAAGCTTCAGAAACCCTGCCATTAGGGTTTCTAGAGAGAAGAGGGAAGAAAAAGGAGGAAGCTTCTCAAACCCTGCCTTTAGGGTTTACAGAGAGAAGAACGAAGAAGCTTCACAAACCCTGCCATTAGGGTTTATAGAAGAGAGAAGAAGGAAGAAGCTTCACAAACCCTAATGGAAGACGCCTTAACTGATTTTTAGAGAGAGAAAAGGAAAATGAGATACTGATTTGGGATAGTTTGACGAGGGTTTTTCTCTTTGATTTGGGATGTTGTTTGAGAAAAAGCCCTAAATTTGTGAAGAGGCCCTAACTGATTTTTAGAGAGCGAAAAGGAAGAGGGTTTTTCATTTTCTTTGGGAAACAAGAAGCATAGCTGAAACATTATGTACATTTACTTGCTCCTGTAAGTTTACAGTTCAAAGTATTGATTACTTGGTCCTTAGTCACACTTTCTGCTTCTCATTCATCAGTAAAAGACTATCTTTTGAGCTCTAGTTTCTGTCATCAGTAAAAGACTATGTTTTGAGCTCTAATTTGTGCCATAAACAGTGTTTTCATAAGAATAATTATCACAAATAATCACAGAAATCTGCATGTAAAATGATTTTCTTTACACAATGATTTACTTTAAAAAATAATTTGCTATAAACAGTATATCATTTACACAATAATTTTCCATAATAACAACTGAAATATACATCTAGTTTTTTAAGTTTTTTTAAAAAAAGGAAAAAAATTCATACCTTCAATCTGGAACTGGTTTTGAAGATTCAAAAAAATTTGTTGGTAAGTGTAAAAAAAGATACGATTTTTTGGCCTGATATAAATCGTATTATGAAAAATACCGATTTTTTTTTGAAAAAACGTTTTTGTTTTTGAAAACTCCGATTTTTTGAAGACGTTTATATAAAAACGTTTATATAACCGGCGATTTGCTAACTATGCGCCGAACACACCTAATCCTGGGGGTTGACGCGCGGCTGCGTTTAGCAACAATCAAAGGGAGGTCAACGAAACAACCATTTTTGGGTACTGACAGATACCGACCACAATGAGGTCGTCAATCAAGGCCCCCTTCCTACTAAACCACTAAAATAAGGGAAATGTTTATATAGAACTGAGGCTCTAAACAATCAAATTAGAGCCTTTCACTATAAAAGGTTGTTTTTGATGCCCAAGTGTCTTCCAATTGATCATCTAGACATCAATATGCATGGACACGAGAAATTTTTTTTTTTTAGAAATAGTGTATTTTGTAATACATTTTTGGACAGTCAATTTTCAAGATTTTAATAAATCAGCTCGATCTACCCAATTTTTGAAGCTTTAAACTTTACAAATAAAGATAAAAATATATTGTAAGGCTATAACAAAGATTTACAGTATTCAAACCACATTTCTCGTCCCTATATGAAGGTAGGCTCTATTTTGATTGTTTAGAGCATACGTTCTTTACAAACTGCACCCATAAAATAAATCACAGCATGGAAAAAAAGAGTTTAAAAATAAAAAATATTTTTTAAAAATATGAAAAGTATATTTGAAATATCATTAACCAAAAAACATTCCGAAGTTAAAAATTAGTGAATTTTTTTTTTTTAAAAAAAAAAAATCAAATTGTGCATGGGGTATTTTTGAACAAAAAAAATTAAAAAAATACAAAATACAAAAATAAGTATTCATAGTCAAAATCCTATACAATATTTGCCAAAATGATAAAAAATTCAAAACTGCATTACAAGTAAAACCCTTATTTTTTGGATTTTTATATAATGTTTTTAAATTCTTTTTAAAATACCTTACCAAATTACCAAAACTGGCAAAAACCACTGGCGAGTTCCAAGTTGAACCGGCCGGCTGATATTACGAGCATTGACCGAAATAACCCTTATCCAATGTGTGAGATAGAGAGGGGGTCAACGAGCCGGGTCAGTCTTGTCCCCACCACGGCCGTTGTCCCCATAGGCTAGGTCTAGGCGGCCCGTCTCTTGTCCCCAAAGTTTGTGGCCCAGGTCCCACTATTTTAGGGATGCGCTAGACCGTCTGGCCCATTGCCAGCTCAAGAGAGAGAGCGAGAGAGATGGGGGAGGGAGGTAGAGAAGTTTTTTTTTAATTTGAAAGGGGGTTATGCAAAGGGTCGTTTTTTTTGGCCGGGGGTTGTCATTGGTAATGAAAAGTAGATCTCTTTTCTTAACAGTGCACACTGAATATCACGTCAAAGAAGATCTCCTCTCTCACTAGTTCCCTCTCACTACAAATAGCTTTTATCTTTCTTTTTCTTTTTTTTTTAACGGTTGCCGATGGCTCTATATTAACGTCAAAACTGTGTTAACTGAAAAGCAGTATATTTGGGCCTATCAGGGTCTAGACTGGTATTGCAGGAAATTGATGAAATTCATACTAAAATTCATCTCAATTAATCAATTAAAATATTATTTAATTCTGCTGGAAAATAGCGAGGATCACAAAAATAGCAGAGGAAGCATTTTTGCAACATCATAATCTAAGTGCGATAGCTCGACCAAAATTCATAGGCCTACAAACAAAAAGAAGAAACTGAGGGGTTTTTGTGGTTGCAAACAAATATGAGAGCGTTTTAGGCCTTTTACTGCGTTTTGTATTGTTGCAAACACATTTGTGAATGATTTGGGCTTTTTGTTGTGAACTTACTGGTTAACTCTACTTTCTGAGCCATGGTTGATTGCAAAGTGAAACAAGAAACACAGCCATTATAACTGCATTACAAACTTTATATTTGGTGCATGTCATCCGCAATTTATGTAAACACGGCTTGGACTCGAGACTTGGCACAGTCCCGATCCAAGTCATCTATATAGACTTGGCCGAGTATGCCAAGGACTCATCGTGGCATGTACAAGTTATAATATTAAATGTAGGAACTGGATGAGTTTAATCCAGTTCTACTAGGATTTGGCACCTTGCTGAGTCCGAGTAACCTGGGTGAGTCCAAGCAGACTCGCCCAAGGTTTAGAACACTGGTCTTCTCCAATGTTTAGGTAGAAACGAATTCATGGCTTCAAAATCATTTGATTGGAGTCACAAGCCAATTCCCCCCCCCCCCCCCCCCCAAAACGAAGAAGGAAAAGGCAATATCAACTGCAGTAGAGTGGCCTTAATATTATTTTTCAAATTCTTTCTTGGATGATCTTGCGCATCACTTCCTCTGGTGCCTCTGCATGAATAGAGATCAAATGAGAAACAATCACGCATACATTCATTAGTAAGAAAGAAAATAAGGCAAAGGAAAATCAAATGAAACAAAATTCTAAAAACTCCCAGCTTCATTGTTACTTGGAGAACCAGTGAAAAGCTCTATCTGTCCAAAGGCTTGTCTAACCCACATTTCCACCCCACTCACAACAACAGCTCCAACTTCCTCCGCCTCATGCAAAAGCTGTGTAACTTTTGGGGTGTAAACCGCATCAAAGACCACAGCATATCTTCTCAGAGCTTCCTAGAGACACACATGGATAACATTTTTCCCTTGATTGTCAAATATCACAGTCACATTAACAAATCAAACATCAAGGGAAAGCGAAAACATAGTAAGGTACATCATATACCATTTATTTATGGAATACAATGCTTCAAGTTAAGGAGTATGTTCTCTTAAATATATCGCAGATATGAACCATAAGTCCAGATGAGTAACACTCATTTTCATATGATTCATCTGTACTGTCCATTTATGGGAATGGATGGTGGACTACCATTTAGCATGCACATTGATGTGTATTTCTATAATATACTTATCATAGAATATTGGGAACTTTGTCAAACTACTCATGAGAGACGCACTATTTAACATTTTATACACTTTTCACTATTCCAACCCATAATCATGTGTTTTTTGATGGGTATTTTGAAACTAAATCAAACTATTTGGGTAAAATGTCAAATAGTTCATATCTCATCGGTATTTTGATAAATTTCTGTAAAATATATCCCAGGGAAGAGCAAGTACTACTAAGAGATCCAATATCAAATAATGTTATAGAATAAATTTGCCCAACCAATTACCAGTTCCATAGCATTCCCATTTAATGCATCTGTGAAAAAGAAAAAGCAAACATGGTTTTGCCCCAAAAACCATCAACTAAAAGGAACAGGAAAGTCTTATTGAATAATCTGGCAAACTTTCATAAAGGATCATCTTTAGAGAATGCCTCCCTCTATCCATAATTAAAAAGAAATGTCGGAGAAGAATTTGCCAAGCAGAAAAAAGAAGAAAAAAAGGAAATCACAAACCTTCGATATCGGAGTTCCGTCTATGTCTGGATACATCCCTAAAGAAGTTGAATTTGCAAGAATGGTCTCTTCTTCAGGTTGGAAGCTCCCTAAATCACCCAAAGTTATAGCTTCTCCTCCAACTAAATTGGCAAGTTCTTTAGCTCGTTCTATCATCAAAGACAGAAGTATCAATATCATAAAAATAAGATGAAAAACCTGATGTCATATCGTCCTAAATCTATGTGTTACTCATAGCTCATGAATTTACCATAAGTACGGTTAGCGATAATAATCCTTGCTCCCTTTTCTTTGGCACCATAAGCAATTGCTTTTCCAGCACCACCAGCTCCAATAACAATGAATAATCTTCCAGAAAGGGGTGATTCAGCTGCACCCTTCAAGCTAAATGAGCCTATTAAAGATCAAATATTAATTCCCAAATTTAAGAGTTTATTGTATGCACATTGATTAATATGTTTAACCAGGGTAAATCCTATACTTAGTGGCTTAATCCTATACTTAGTGGCTTAGTGCGCTAGGTCACACTTTAGGTTGAGAATTCAGGAAATTATCCCATAATCCAATGGAGTTTTGCATAGAATATACTGTAGAACCATCCATCTGTACCTGATCATGGGCAGCTGAGTTTAATGGTAGTGGTGCCCATTGAGACATTCACTCAGGTAGAATTAAACCACTCATCGTTGAGATGGATGGTGAGTTCTTCAAAAGAGTGGCATAACCCATACTCCATCGAATATGACACTTTCCCTGAGAATTTAAAAAATTATAATCCAACAAATTCAGAACCAAGATCGTTATCTTTTTTCTTTCTTGGGTAGGAGAGCTGGTTTTGAATCCACGACTTCAAAGGTCACAACAACAAGTGCTTTATGTTTGAGCTATAAGCTCGAACCCATCTGGATATAATGTTTTATCAAGTCCAATATAACAAAAAGAAGAAATGTCAGACCTCTCATCTCATGCTCTATAGCAGAAATAGCGCCAAAATAATCTGTGTTGTAGCCGATCAATTTCCCATCACTTGGTCTTCGAACAATAGTGTTCACAGCTCCTATAGACTGAAAAGTAATTTATGTTAACAAGTATATGAGGCTCCAATATCTTAACAAACAAGCTAAGAACTTCTAATGTTTGTGTGTGTGTGCGTATGTGTTATATATGCATACAGCACATGAAAAAGACCACCTTAATGGAATTTAGAATTTGTTTGACCCCAAACTCCAGGGACGATCTTAGAAACACCAGCTGAACAATTTGACAAAAGAAGAAGGAATTTGAGCACATCTAACCCTAGATCTAGAAGTTGCACCAAAATAGATGGCTAACGAGAACCCAACTTTCTCTCTTCAGAAAACCATTGTTTTTTTTTCTTTCAGATTTTTCTCATAGGCATGTTTGCCGGGGTAAGAGGATGGGTCTGCAAAAAATGAGGTCAAACAATTACTCCTAAGATCAATTTTTTTTAGTTTCTTCCGAAAGTCTTGATTCTCATGGACAATGGTTTACTCATACTCCATGGGACTAAAGAATATTTGTTCCATTAAAGAAGTCAGAGATATTTATCAGTTCATTACCTTGGCAACTGGGTCAACCTCGTCACAAAGTCTAAGTGCATCTTCCTTGTGAGGGATGGTCACACTGGATCACAAAGTAAATAACATTTAGTTTGGTCAAACTAAAGGAGAGTAATATTTCACCAAGCCGCTGTTTTAGCATAATGCTACAGAGCCAATAACCTCCTAAAGCTAACATAATTAGATATGTTGTCATAAAGTAAAACAATAACCTGAAACCAGCAAAATCTGGGGAGGAATACACATCAAAGAACTCTCTTATGTTATCCACCAATAGATGCACAAATATTGCATTAAAACCAAGAGACTTAAAAGTTGCATTGTAAAGAACAGGGGATTTGCTGTGGCCCACAGGATTTCCAATTAGTCCGTAGATTTTTGTGTCTCTTCCTATCTGTCTGAAATAGTAGATGCCAAGCATATTTTGCAATGTAGGTTTCCCAGGTTCAGATTCATTTGCAGCTTCAAGTGTAGCATAAGTGAGATATCCACCAAACTTTGGGGAAAGAAATCGTGAGACTGCTCCCTTCTCACCCATAACCAGTCCTATAATGGGAACCTAAAACAGAAGTTTTACATGGTTATCAAAAGATATGTAGAAAATCAGTTAGAAAACAAAACTTCCAAGTGCTCGACCAAGCAAGAATTCACAACAAAGCATAACCTTAAGATGACAAAAAAATTTATGTTTGACTGGTGGGAAATAAATAAAACCCCGTATGTTCTGCCATGTATAATAAAAAAGAGATAAAGAAAAGCTTATGTTCTTGTTTCTGCTTGTTGCAAGCTCCTGATGATGAGTTAGCAACAAGACCAAAAACATTTACTCGATTACAAAGGATCTTAATACTTTTTCAATAGGCTCAAGTAAATTCTTGGTGAAGTTTCATAATCATCTGTAGCTGAGGGGGTTATGCATCGAGGTTGTGTTCAATGGTGAGTATACTCGATAAAATGGAATATGGGAAATGCAAGGTCCCTTTGGCCATCATCATTTATGGAAGAGTGGGACCCACCAGAACAGGACTTGATCCCATCTCTTTATCAGCTGCCCATCATTTCAATGGACAAATGATGACCAAATTAGAGTATTGTTTTCATAGTCCACTAGCTTATACTATATCTGCTTTCAATGCTCTTGAAAGAACTAAAGGTGTTCTAACTTACTTGACAATTAACAAGCACATGAAAAATTCGAGCCACATCTGCAATGTTTGTGGCAGTTGTTGCAATCTTAACAATGTCAGCTCCAGTGTCTTGTATCCTTGCGACCAGATCACCAAGGTCCTCAACCGAAGGGGTGTTTTGATAATCATGTGAAGAAACTATAACCTTAAATTTGCTAGGCTTCTTTCCAGTTATGGAACTCATGAAGTCATGGGCGACCTACAAAAGTTAAAAAATTCAAAGTCAAAAGAGCGTGGCCAGTAAAATTCTTGCTTGATTAATTACACAATCATTTATGTTCTCCATTTATAACAATTTTTCAAAGAGGTTATTCTGATTACCCATTTATTTGAATAATTTCAATCTCTTCTTTCCCTCTTATTGTTCTAGAATATAGTACAACACATTCAATTTGAATATTTAGAGATATAACCCATGTTTGCTCCAAAATAACAGCTTCGGACACTGCTCTTTGATTCCTTTCCTTATCCAACTGCAGATGATTATAATTAAAATGTAGATTCTCTGTTAGAAGGTCTGCAACATGTTAGAGAATTTTTTATTAGGACAAACTTTATAATTATTCGCAAGGAAGGAGATACACACATATATATACAGATTTGTGTGCGTGTGTGTGAGCACGTATGCATGTATTAATTGCTTAGCTATAAAGCTTAGCATATCATATTCTTCAAGTTAAACAAATGTTATAAGTCATACGTGAAGCAATTCCTAGGTTTACGAAGATTATTTATGGCATCGTACCTCTTCTGCACATATTCAATAGTTCTTTTGATGCATTATTCGACTTCAAGAAGTGCAATAATATGGCATGATTTCTCTAAAGTTTTTACTAGAAGGCCAATAATTAAAATAAAAGAAAAAAAAAGGAAAAAAAAAGAAAAACTTTTCACTAGAAGGCAATAGTGTCATTATCATCATCCAAGACTTATCCCAATTATTTGGAGTCAGTTATGATAAGATATGGCTAAATTTTACGCTAGCTGCCTACCTAATGCAACCGACCTCCTTTACCCAGGCTTGGGATGGGTTAAGGGGAAGTTCAAGGTCATCACCCTTATTAAAACAACTAGAAGGTAATAGTATAAGTTATAATTTCTACATGTCAGTTATTAAATTTTCTAAACCTCTGACCAATCCAATAAAAGAAAAAAGAAAATAGAGAAATTTCAAACCTCAGAGAAATACATGCGCTCAACCCCAATAGAAAACAGAACTATAGATAAACTAGTCAAAAGCAAGTACCCATCAAATATATTCAACATGATGATGCAGGACGATTATTTAAGCATTATGGCAACTAATCTTTGAATAGAAGAGAAATAAAGTCTGAGCAAATCATCCATTGACAAGCTGATAAAGCTTCCGGATAAAAAAGAAAAGAAAGAATGGTTATGGCTTTTATTTTTAACTAACAGTAATCAGCAGGGGCGAAAAATTCCAGAATTATATAAAGATCTAGGAAATGTGAAACCTGAAGCTCGACATCAATATAATCAGCTCCCAATTCCATTGCCATGAAAAGTGCATCAAGTCGATGACGCTCATCACCTTCATATTGACCACCTTGCCATCTGGGTCTGGATAGACAATAAAGTTTATTAAGAGATTTAAGAGTTGTACTTCCTAATCCACTTTGTTCGTTCCAAATTCAAGCATTTCAGTTTTCAGATTAAATAGCCCTCAAGATTCAAGCTTTTCTTTCACCAATTTAATCGACAAGAATTCTCCTTCTCAGGGGCATTGACCAATAAGAATATTATGCACTAACAATCGATAAGCAACACATGTTGCTCAAATAACATGAACTGTCTATCTGTAAAAGAAGCAAGCAACCATTGAAAAGCATTTTACCCACTGAATACTTCTTCAAATAAAGAGCCCTGAAATATTTCTGTGAAGTGTGTCTGAAATAGAGGAACAAACAACCATTGGAAAGCATTTTACCCGCTGAATACTTCTTCAAATAAAAAAATGTGCAATATTTCTGTGAAGTGTGTCTGAAACAGAGGATAATTGTGAGAAAAATTGGATATCATTGATAATGGAAATCGAGGAAAACAAATTTATTCATGCGCTCTCTCCTGATTGAATTCTCTTAAGCAACACCTAAATTTCTCCATGCATTTGTTATACTAATTTCACACTTGACAAAGACTAAATCAAAAGAGGGATTCTAGCATTTGCTAACTCTGTTTATCAAAAAAATCAATTTCGATGTCAAGAAAAAGCATTCATTCACAAATGCAGCGAGAAACGAAAAACCAACTTTCAGTTAACCAGCTCTAAAGAAATCCCAATAATTTGCATCCCAATTGTAGACCGAACCAAGCTTTTTCCTTTTAGTAAAGAAACCAACATTTGAGAAGGGAAAGCGACCCCAGTGGATTGTGATTTCTTTCATACTCCACTAAACTATAAGAGGAGATCAACGAAGATACCTGTAAGTGACAATGGCCGGCAATGTCCGCTGTTGTAGCAATACTTTGAGATCTTCATGAGGCTTAAAATTAGAGAGAGTGTCTAAGCGGATCTCGACAAGGTCTGCTCCATGAACTTTAGCTTGATTCATTTGAAGTAAAATCTCATCCACAGTTTGGGCCACCAATGGAGCACAGAGAAGAGTTGTATTCTGTCCCATTTTACACATACCCACCTCAATATCAGAATGGAACTAAATTTTCCACCAAATATCGGAACCAAATTGTAGACCCTTATCTCAAAATGGAACAATCTCTCTCTCTCTGTCTCTCTCTGAGATACATACACACAAACACTCACTAAAGATCAGAACCCAACTGAAATTTCCATTAAAGAAAGTAAATGTATAGTAAACAATCCCAAAGAAAAGAAACAAGGGAAAATAAAGATAAACTACATTAAAAACTCCAAACTGAACATGAAAATGAGAAACCCCAACAACACTTTCTCCATGCTACTCACCCCAGAAAGAACATCTAAATCTCTCTCCATGAAAATAGAAAAGACAAACAGAAATTCTGTCTCGGAATACTGAACCACAGGGAAATAGCAGGGATCTGAGCTCTACATTAACACAGTGATACTAAGATAAAAGTTAAGAAACAATGAAAAGCTAAAAAGAAGAACAGACGATAAAGTTGAATTAGAAAAAGTTCATTGAATTGAAGATACAACTAAAATCATGGGAAGGAAAAATCAGAAAGGGTTACCGCTGGTTCCATTTGGATATGGGTTTTTGCAAGTAGAAAGGGTGCAAATGTGTGAGCTTTCTTCCAGTCAGACTGCGAATTCTCGTGAGGAACTTTCTTGCAAGAGCTTCTTACTTAAACCCTCTCTCTCTCTCTAAGCCCTTCGATTTGAAAAGCTCTATCACGAAATCATGGAAGTATTCTACTGCAACAGGTACTTCATTGATAAGTGATGCTCTCTGTCTACTCTCCCTCTCTATAAAATGATACTGATAATCTCTCTCTCTAAAATGAAGTTACTTTCTACCTCTGAAATGATATTCACTGATAATCTCTCCCTGAAAGTCTAAAATGAAGATATAATTCACTGATTATATCTCTTATCTCTCTCTCACTCTATCTCTACAATGGAGTTAACTTTCCAGCTCGTACCTCAACAACGTCACTTGTTTCTGGCCTAAACCAGCGCGCCAACCGCCTGGCGCCACGTAACTCAACTGGTAAGAACATTACAACCCACTGCCTTCCTTTTCATCTGTAATTTTTTGTACTCAAATTTCGAATTTCGGATGGTGAACCGATATTTCGTTGAATTTCGACTTCATAATGGAATAATTAAAAGTTAGGAAAATTATGGATACCTAAAAAAATAAGAGAAATGATCCTAGAGTACCCTCTCCCACAATGTGTTTAAGAGGGGATCACCGTTAAATTTGATATGAATTTATAGAAAAGTCAATTTTCATATTGATAACCTTTTTAGATATCTGTGCCAATTTTAATGATGATCATTTGAATTTTATATACGAATTAAAAAAAATCCTATAAAATCGATATTCTAAAAACAATTATTGAAATTCTACCCTCGATATTTTTAATACCACACTTTTAATGGTTGAATGTCTTTTCTTGTTTTTACTTGTCAAAAAGTAAATATTTTAAAAAACTAAATTGCCTTTTCCCCCTCTTATCTTTTTTTCAACCCATCCTCCCTCTCCTTCTCTCTCTTCCACTGTCTTTGTGACTCTCTCTACTCCCTCGATCTCTCTTTTTATAAGCATGTGGCCAGTCTGGCATATTTTTGTGTCGAATCAATTTTTTTTTTGCAACCGGTTATTGGCTTCTAGAAATCTAGAAGCCTCAAAATCCGCTCTACAACAAAATGTACTAGACGGGTCATTGGATTTTGGATTTCTAAGAGCTTGTGACCGATCGCGCACAAAATTGTATCGGATTGAATTTTTTTTTACGGTCCGACACACTTATGTCTGAAGTTAAGTTCAGAGAGAGAGAGGGCAAGTAGAAAGAGAGAGGAAAAGAGTCTGAGAGCAAGAGAGATGGCAGGTAGAAAGAGAGAAAGGGAGAGAGTGAGACAGAGGATGGGTAGAGAGAGAAATCCAATAGAACGAGAAAGAGAAAGAGTAAGAGAGAGGAGAGGGGTAGAGCGAAAGAGAGGGACGAGAAAAGTAGTTTAGTTTTTGGAATATTTGTTTTTTTATCTAGAGGAAACAAGGAAAAACAATGACTCGGTTAAGAGTATGATACTAAGACTAGGAGTATGATATTAAAACGAGAAGTATTGGGGGTAAAATAAAAGTAGGCGAAGTATAGAAAGGGAGAGTACATATCCTCTATGTGGTAAAAAAAGTATAGAAACAGTTTCAATATTTAATTGTCTCACTTCACCTTATGAATATTGAAAGATATTCTACTCGAGGCAAGCTGCTTGCCAAGTTGACTTTTGCTTTTGTATGTTCAGCAGTAGGGTTCGAATTCGAGATATAATGTTGCTAACCTCAACTGCTAATCACTTGATTCCTAGAGTTAGGAGAAATGCTTTTGAGGCTTGTGCATAGATTCGCCATTCTATTTCCTCCCGAATCAATGATCGATAAGCGTTTAGAGGTTGGTTGGGATGATGAGTTTGAATCTCCATAAAATTGCCTTCTAAATGAGAATTTGTTGAATTTCCCACATTGGACATTGAAAACCCACGAAAGATGAAACCCAAACTATGGTTATTCTATGTCCGAAAAAAAAGGGCAAGCTTTTTATGCTTCCCATACAAGTTCCCTCCTCTCCCTTATCCAACCGTCTATTTTTAATGGAAGGCTAAGATTGTCTCAATCACAATGTCACGTCTCTACACTATTTTTTTTTTAATTTTTTTCTATAAACTATTTTGACACTAAATTTTGGACGTTTATTCGTCTACTAGACTCGCACTAGCGAAAAGCATAAAAAAACATTTTCAATAAAATAAAATTACCAAAATACCCTTGAAAGTTTAAGGGGTATTTTGATCATTATATTTTATCGAAAATTTATTTTTAATATTTTTTATAGGTGCACCCCGATGAAAAGATAGCAAGTACCAAATTTTATATTCATACAATTTGTATAAAAAAACTAAAAATAAAATATTTTGAAACATCGGATCTAAAATCAAACGGTGAGTGGCTCTCTTGATCAAAATTGGACGGTTGGATGGTAGGGGGGGATAGAACTTCTATTCTGTAGGGGAAGCATAGAAATCTTTCCCCTAAGAAAAATCTTCCAAATGTAACTTGTGTGTGATAAAAAGCCCATTTTACTTAGCTTTTTCAAATTTATGGTCCAGAAATCATATGAAGAGAGTAATTGGCTTGTGAATGAAAAGAGGACATCTGAATGTTTTTCTTAAATAAGGGCAGCAATTGCCACTCTCTTTAAATTGCAGAACTTTGGAAGGTAGAAAGGTGATGAGATGGTCAGCGAGTTTTCCAAGCTTTTGGATGGAGTAGGGTCTTCATCTTTTAGTGATTGTTCGTGTCTCGGGAATTTTGGATGATCTTGCTTTGAAGTAGGGTTTCTCACCCTACTTTTCTTCTTTGTAATTGTAATATTGGAGTTTATTTCCTCATATTAATGGATACTTAACTTGTTCAAAAAAAAGAAAGGTGATGAGATGGTCCAATCCAATCTCAAATAGATTTCCATCATTAGCCTTAGCTATGACTATACCCAATATTTTCCTTGTATAATTTTATATGCTAATTTTACAAGTAAATAGTATTTTCCTTTGCGATAGCATTGTCGTATTCTTTGATGATGAAGTGGATCTGAAGTCAATTACAATATTTGGCCTTTTCAATATCATTTACTCAAAATTTTGACGAATTAATCAAAGCTTTTTGGCCTTAACTATGTGATTTGGTGAATTGTCTTGGTTTAGTAGTGCCTTGGCCGTAAATTTGAGTTTTTCATACTGATGTAAATAATGAAATATCATCATCATCATCATCATCCAAGCCCTATCTCAATTATGTAGCGTCCGCTACATAAATCTTGTTTTGCAATTCCACTCTATCAAGCCTCATACCCTCAATCATGCTACTAATAAACCATGAAATATATAATTAAAAAAAATAAATAAAAATAAAAAGGTCATGTGTCAAACATCCAAAATTGGGAAGTGCCCCTCCTGATGTTTATTTTCTTCTAATATTCATAAATTAGACGAGTTATGTTCTTTTATTGTAAAACCACCATCTTTTATCATTCTTTCATAGAAGGGTATAGTTGGCATACGGATGCATCCGTAGCTGTAGAGGTAAAGTGCACCTTCAAATTTTATCATGGTATATAATTTTGATGTAAAATGTTCTTAGGATTATCTCAAAATATATTTTTATATCTAATTATAAAATTTTAAATTTAAAAAATGGTTAAAATCAAGTAGATCTATAAACATATGAAAATCTTGAAAATGGACGGTTTAGATAATATGTTGTAAATGATTTTTGCGACTTACAACCTTTTATTTTTCATGATCATACATCTCGATGTCGAGATGATCAATCAAAGGGTTTTTCAACATTAAAACTACCTTTTCCGATGGATTTTTTAGGTGCATCCATAGTTCTACATTATAAGATTACATCCTTATATAAACTTTTTCCTTCATAGAATAACCTACCACAATTTTCCCTTAATGATAACTGTATAGGCTAATTCACCAAGTTCCGAGCTTAAGTCATTTATGCGGTGAAACAACTAACACTATCATATGAACTTCCAATTACAATAGAAAGGCCTTCTAGTATGTTTCAGATTCTTTCTTGGACAATCTTGCGCATCACCTGCACTGGTGCTTCTGCAGGAACAGCAATTGAATCAGGATAGAACACAAACACACACACAACAAACAACAAAAATAAGAGAGGAAAATTACATGAAAAGAAAACACCTAGGCAGTCCAGTCCATTATTACTTGGAGAGTCAGTGAAGAGCTCAAACTGTCTAAAGGCTTGTCTAAGGAACATTTCCACTCCACTCACAACAACAGCTCCAACTTCCTCCGCCTCACGCAAAAGCCTTGTGTCTTTTGGGGTGTAAACAGCATCAAAAACCACAGCATATCTTCTTAGAGCTTCCTAAAGACAAACATTTTTCACTTAAATTGTCAAATATTGCAGTCACATTGACAAATCAAACATTAAGGTAAAACCAAAAAGAAAAAAATGATACTATATCGCATACTGTTGGTGTAAGGTAAATGGTGCACCAAGTCGTTATCCACCTTTCATTTAAGGAGATTGTTCCCTTAAATAGATGGTAGAGATGAACTCCATAATTCCAGATGTTGGAAATTTAATAGAATACGAGCCATCTCCATCATCCAGTAAAAGGAATGGATGATGAGCTACCATAGAGCATACACCACAAGCAAGTAATGCACTTCCTCAAATAAAGCATCTACGGAAGAGCTATTATTTGAATCTAATTCCAAAATCGTATTATGAAATAGATTAGCATGCCCATTGATTGCAAGCCCATTCATCCATTCAAAAGTTTTTTAAAAATTAATATATTCCACCGGCAATCTCCTTTTGAAAAACCAATTACCCCAAAGGACATGAAAATTTTATGGATAAATAGGCAAACATCTATAAAAGTCCGGAATGTCTACTTATACCACCAACTCAGAGAAATGTAAGAAAAAAAAAAAACCAGAAACCTTTGATATGGGTGTTCCATCAATGTCTGGATACATTCCAACAGAAGTAGAATTTGCAAGAATCGACTCTTCTTCAGGTCGGAAGTTCTCTAAGTCACTTAAAGACATAGCTTGTCCTCCGACCAAACCAGCAAGTATTTTAGCTCGATCTGTCAAAAAGAAGAAACGGGTCAAGACAATCTACAATAGACGAGATGAGAAACACATCATGTCTCCCCAACTCCAGATATTTCTATCATATGGACTTACCATAACTACGGTTAGCAATAATGATCCTTGCTCCCTTTTCTTTGGCACCATAAGCAAATGCCTTTCCAGCACCACCAGCCCCAATGACTACAAATAATCTTCCAGCAAGGGGTGATTCAGCTTCACCCTTCAAGCTAAATAAACCTACAAACGATCAACATTTATCCACAAAAGTTAAAAACTTACTGTATAGACATTGATTATTTTACATTCAACCAGGGTAAAATCCATAGTTTAGTGGCGCTTCTATTCCAAGACTTGGTTTGGAAACCAGGGAAATTACACTATAACGAATGGAGTATGGTAAGCAGCAATCCAAAGGAGGATGCACTGCAGTTTCCTCACAAAGGACAGTGGATAATAATCATAGTTGTGTTCACTAGGTTATTTAGTACATTTATCTCCACCATCCATCATTGAAACTGAATCTTAGAGCATTTTTTTTAGTACCAAAATTGGGCTGCAACATACTTTCCCTAAGCATTAAGATTTATCATCTCAGAAACATAAATGACAAACTAATAAATCGGTATACTCATTTTGGGCAGGTGAAGCTAGATTGAAACCCACAACCTTAAGGTTGCAACAACCAAAACCTCTCATTCAAGCCATGGGCTTGAACCAAATCAGTATCATTTGTTGTTACTTTCAAATAACAGAAAGAAAGTGTTATTTGTACCTCTCATCTCGTGCTCAATAGCAGAAATCGCACCAAGACAGTCAGTGTTGTAACCAACTAATTTCCCGTCACTCGGTCTCCGAATTATAGTGTTTATAGCTCCTATGGACTGAAAGTGAGTTGCACAAATGAGCTTACCAGGATCCAATCTCTAACCGGACTAGAGAATGACATTTTTTTTTTTTGGATAATTAACAAGGACTGTGTTATATGGAGAATGAACTCCTATACTCAAATCACTATCCATAACTCCATGTTAAAGAAGAAATAATACTAGAGTCCATGAGCCCATTGATTTAATAACCATGTAAAGAAATGGACAATGATAGAGAGAGAGTCCCACACTTGGGATCATTTCCCACTCTACTCATCCTAATTTCTCTGCCACTATCCATTACTTCATTAGATGGTCATGACTCCTATCGACTACAGCCCATTCGACCATGACATATTTTATCATTAAAGAAATCTGGCATTAATTAAGTTGTTACCTTAGCTATCGGGTCAAGCTCATCACAGTGTCTGAGTGCCTCCTCCTTATGAGGGATCGTAACACTGCATCATAAATTAGATAACAGTTACTGGGGTTATCACTAAATCAAAGTGCTAGTTCATCCCGGCTGTCACTCTAGCTTAATGCTACAAAACCAATAACTTCCTCAAGCTCAGAGATAATTACAGGCAGGCTAGCTAACCAGAAAATATTTGTTTGAAAGAAATAAACAAAACATATTCATTTGAATGTTTTGGACCTTCTGAGTTTTAAATAGCTCTCATGCTTTTCAAGATGAAAACTTAAAAAGGTTTGTGGTGGCTCAAGTGATGTAGTTACAAGTATGGATATCTTTGTCAACGTGCGAGTCATTCCAACCAAAGAAACATGCATATTCTCAAGTGACAGAAAACAAAATTATTTCATTGCACCACAGTGAATTTCAAGGCACATCATCACAATTTAATGATATAAGCCATATTTACCAATACACGTTAAGATATGTCCAGGTAGTACGAGAAAAACCTGAAACCAGCAAAATCTGGTGAAGAATATACATCTAAGAACTCTCTCACATCATCCACCAATAGAAGCACAAATATTGCATTAAAACCAACAGACTTAAATGTCTCATTATGGAGGATAGGGGCTTTGCTATGACCCACTGGATTTCCAATAAGTCCATATATTTTTGTGTCTCTTCCCAACTGCCTGATATTGTAGATGCTAAGCATATCTTTCAATTTTGGCTGCCCAGGAGCAGATTTTATGACACCTTCAAGTGTAGCATAAGTGAGATATCCACCAAACCTTGGGCAAAGTAATCGTGAAATAGCTCCTTTCTCACCCATAAGCAGCCCTATAATGGGAACCTGAAATAAAAGTTCGCATTGTTAACACAAGATGAGCAGAATGGGGCACCAGGATTCGTGTAGCCAAGCCCAAATAGTTGGGAAAAGGCTATAATGATGACGATGAGTTAACACAAGATACTCAAGAAGTGAGAGTTACAACATAAACCCCCTCATTTCTGATCTACGCAAATGGATTCATGACTGAGCATGAAAATTAGAAATACAGAATCTTCCTAGTTACTTTAGAATGGTGCAACTATTTCTTTTTCATTGGGCGGAAACTAATGTACGACCCCTATTTTATAGCATGTTTAAACACAAAAAAACAGGTCACATTCATGTTTTTGGTTTAATTTTGATCTTATCAACGAGCTCGCAAGAAAACAAAAATAGAAAGGAATCTTACTGCACCAGCAATTTACTAGGTTAATTTTCAATGAAATCAAGTAACTTGTCGCCACAGTTTCATTTTCGTTTGCAGTAAAGAGAATTCTATGCATCCATGTCATCATCTTTAAGGGTAAAATAAACAGTGAGCCAATGGACTATAAAAAGGCATGAGCAATAGAATCATCACTAGCAATGAAATGATAGACATTGATGGAGGGAGAGTGTGATCCATCAGAATGAGGCATAACACTTGGTGGTTTCCATTCTCTCTCCACCACCAGTCATCATTTGACTATCATTTTTCCACAATTCACTAGATTATAGCATACTTTCCTTACGCTGAATTCTCTTGAAATGTATTCCTAAACCCTAAGTCGTAAACCCTAAACCCTAACAACCCCAAACCCTAAAAACCCTAAACCCTAAACCCTAAACCCTAAACCCTAAACCCTAAAAACCCTAAACCGGAAACCCTAAAACCCTAAAAGCTAAAGCCCCTAACCCCTAACCCCTAAACCCTAAAACTTACTTGACAATGAACAAGCACATGAAACATGCGAGCCACATCTGTAATGTTCTGGGCCATTGTTGATATCTTGACAATGTCAGCTCCAGTAGCTTGTATCCTTGCGACAAGGTCACCAAGCTCCTCAACTGAAGGGGTGATTTGGTAATTATGTGAAGAAACTATGACCTTAGACTTGCTAGGCTTCTTTCTGGTTATGGAACTCATGAAGTCATTGACAACCTACAAACATCAAGAAAATGCACGTTAGAAGATAATGGCCACCAAAATTGCTTACTAGAAATGTATCACCAAGGATATTTATGGATATGAGACCCACAGTGGTCTATTTTTTGATACCTTGTACATATTATGGAGTGACAATGGTAGCTAAGAAGCAACTTAAGTTCCATAGGATATGAAAAAAGAAAAGAGAAAGTGAAAGAAGCAAGAAATCATGAAATAGAAAGGCACAGCCAAAGCAATTAAAGATTGTCTTTAGCAAAAGCCACACATTAATAAGTACAATGTAATTCAGATACAAGCATTGGATTCAATACTCTGATATAAGAACTGTTGAAGTCATCACAAACAGTAACTGGTTAATTATAAGAATAAAAGAATAGAGCACAGTTCTTAAGCTAAAACAAACATTACAAGCCACATGAGAGGACATTCCTAGGAGTATATGCGTGTGTGTGTGCATAAAAGAGATCATGTAAGCCGACCCCAAAAATCGTATAGGTCTCTGGCAACCTAGATTCAAGGAATCAGAAATGAACGAATTGCATTGTGTTTTAGAATTTCTTATGAAAAAAGAAATCCATGTGCGCCTCATCTAGGTACTCCAAATAAAAGTAAAAACTGAATATGCATGAAACATGTGAGGCAAAATGTGCATCCAGATTGCCTCCTCTCCTTCAATCTGGAGCATCTGGAATATGCTACAGTACAAGCCCTTTGGCTTATAGAACGCACACATGCACAATGCACACATGCACGTACACGTGCATACACGCACACATTTGCATCTCTGCGACAGATAATATAACTTCCAATACATTGTTGAACTTCAAGAAATGTAATATTATGTCGTGTTATCCTCAAAGTTCTCTCTTAAAGAGCATAGTTTTATATTTATATAAATTATAAACATCCAAATTATCCAGAAAAAGAAATGTCCCAAACCTCTTGCAGAAAAACACTTTCCAACCTGTGCTCATCAAGGAAGAAATGACATTGTAGAAAACCCATTGAAAGATAATACACATCATGAATCTTGAACATGATGATATGGACAAAAGAATTTAAGTATAATGGCAACCAATCTTTGCCCAGGTCAGCATAAAATCCAAGCCACACTTCCAGACAGTAGCTGGAAAGGACTCCTAACAATAGAAGATGAATAAAATGAGGTGATGATTTTATATATCGCTAAAAAAATTGTGCACTTCTACAACTTCCAGCTACTAGAAGCATATCCAAATCTACAGAACATGTAACCTGCAGCTCGACATCAATATAATCAGCTCCTAATTCCATTGCCATAAAAAGTGTATCCAGTCGATAATGATCATCGCCTTCATATTGACCACCTTCCCATTTGGGCCTGGAAAAAAAATAAGACTTATTAATTCATATAACACAGGGACTTCCTATTCCAGTTTGACCCTTAGACATTCAAGCATTTCAGTTTGCATGATGAAATAGCTTTCAATATTCAAATCTTTCAGTACACCAATTTGATTCACAAAAATTCTTCATTTGATGGGTAGTGACTGATAATAATATAATGTGCCAAGCATAGATAATGGACATGTTTCCCAAGTCACAGGAATTGTTTATTGGTGATCAAAGGAAAGAACCATTGAAAAAAACAATTACGACCACTGAGTATTTGTTCAACAAAATTTATGAGCCAAATATTTTGTAAGAAGTATGTGAAACAGAACAAATTTAGGGAATAAACTCGCCCATGAATTTAAAAATCCCAGAACTTCCAGTAAAGGAATTTATTCATGCAGTTCCTCCCAGATCCAATTACCTAGGCCAACAATCAAGCGGGTCAACAACTCAACATAAAAATTCTATTAATTTCATATTTAACAGAGACTCAACCAGCACATTCGTTCTAACAACAGCCATTGCATTCATCCGACATCAAGAAAAGCATAGACTTTGCAAAAATCTGAAAGGCAAAGAAAAAGCAACTTGCAATCTTCGATCTCAACAGAAGTTTCGACATGCATTTGAATTATAAGCCTTTTTTTACCATTTTATGGAAGGGGAATAATACTTCCAAATCTTTTTTGGCCTACATTCTTTTCTGTATAAAGCACCCACGACGTTGAATGCTTGAGACTCACATTTCGTGAGGAATTTTGTATATCATATACATCAATAATAAATATTGTAAACAATTTATAAACAAGGAAAGGGAATCATAGTATAATCCAAGAAACCATAGAAAAGCATAGTCCATCTGGGTCATCACCATCCAATGAAGTGACAGAGAGAAGGAAGCACCATTGAGATTGAAAGAATGAGAAGCTATGAATCAGTATAATTTTCCTCTCAGGAAATGAATGAGAAGCTATGAATGCAATGCACATACCGATATGTAACAATGGCCGGTAATGGTCGGTTTCCAAGCAATAGCTTGAGATCTTCATGAGGCATAAAGTTAGAGAGAGTGTCTAATCTGATCTCCACAAGGTCTGCTCCACTAACATTAGCTTTATTCATTTGAAGCAACATCTCCTCTACAGTTGGGGCCACCAATGGAGCACATAGAAGAGTTGCATTCTGCTCCACATTCGACATACCCAATTCATAATCAGAAACCAACTGAATTTTCGAACCAACTAAACAGAAAAAGAGAGGAAAACAAAGAAATCGAAAAGAAAACTCAAATAGAAAACCACAAACTGAACATGAAACAAGCTCTCTCTATCTCGTGAACCCAACTGCACTTTCCATTAAACAAAGCACAGAAACCTCTCTAGAATGTAGGGAACCAAAAAGGGCAAGAAAAACCCAACAACTTATCTTTACATTAGCCGCCCAAGAAAAAAAAAATCTGGGACTCCATAAAAAATAAAAAATAAAAAGAAAAATCAACCATGATTCTGATTTTGGAATACCCAACCATTAAAAAATAGAAAAGTTCCTGAGGTCTAAATCATCTCACAATAAACAAAGAAACAGCTAAAAATAACTGAACTTCAGTAACTATAGTTGAGTATGAAGAAGTTCAATGAAGTGAAGAGACAACTACAATCGTGAAAAGAAGAGAGAGAGAGAGAGAGAGAGAGAGAGAGAGAGAGAGAGAGAGAGAGTAGTACGAACGTCGTCGTACTAGTTAAGTAAAGGGTTAGGGGTTACGGACGTACGGTCGGTGTACGTTCTTTCCTACCTACCGACGTACGTACCGTACGTACTACTA